TGTGTGTGTGTGTGTGTGTGTGTGTGTGTGTGTATATGTGTGTATATGTGTGTGAGAGAGAGAGAGGTTTAGTGTGTGCCAGATGGAGGCTCTGTCTTTTATTGGCAGTGTGAAAGGACAGCTTATAGTGCTCCTCTGTGGTCGGGCTCAATAGAGAGGGTGAGAGCAGACCCTCACACACACACTCTCACTCAAAGCCTGATGCTTGTCACCATATGGAGCTGTTTAAAAACGGCCATAGTCCCACACAAAAGAGCAACATTAACAGCCTCTTACAATGACTGCTGGGATAACACTGAATTATTGCACAGGGAGAGCAGTCACACACACACACACACACGCACACACACACACACACAGAGATACCTTTTATGACCTTATCACTCAAATCTGAGGTTTGATAATACTGAAAGCTTTGAATATTTTCAATTTTAGATAGAACTGAAGGGATTGTTCTCAGCTGGTTTTGCTTCAGGACCCAGATTTTACATTAAACATTAAGTGGCGATCCAACACAATATCAAATTGTTTATTGCAGAAAAGAAAAACGGTTCGGTAAATGTGGTTAGTTGTTATAGTTCGGCTGACAGAACATAGGAGTTTTTTGCCTCCACTTTAAAAGTTTAAAACCCTATTTCGTTTTCCTAACTATGCAAAATGATATGGCTAGTCACTTATTGTTATTTGTATTTAGCATTGTTTGTCCCTATACTATCTGTGACCATACCAGAAGAGTCGTGCCCCACTAGTTAGGAACCACTGCATTAGACGAACCTTCATTCATAATAATTAAATAATTAAAATTTAATAACATACCATTTTACTCAATATTTGTATGTGCTATGTATTGTATTATATTATATTATAGAGCACTGCAGTGATGGATTTTTGAAGTAAGTTAGCATCACCCTGGTCCCCTCGACAAAAACCTAATAGGATTTTTCCACTGGCTTTTGGGTTATTTTATTTTATTTATTAACTTTTATACATTTTGAAACCTAAACATAATTGTTAGAAGTAAAAAGCTAAACGCAACTGAAGTAACTATGCTACAGTCACATGACTTCAATGTCTTATTTCAGGCAATTAACCAAAATCCCATTAAAAATAAAAAAGTGTCAATGAAACCAGAAGTACTAAAATTATAACTCATTTCTGGATTTGGCCTACAAAAATACGCCACCCCTACAGCACTCCTTTAGAGTATCAAGTGTTTTGCGTAGCAACATGCTAGCATTAAACTCTATTGAACTCAGTCTACAGTGTGTTTTGAGCAAGGAGGTCTATTTGGTTCTGCTTGAGTAGATTAATAAAATCCCTCTTATGAAGGTCCATTTCAGTTAGGTGCTGCCTTAAAAGGTTTGTGTATAGTACATAGCATATCTTACACTAGCAGATGAGAACAAGCCCTCTGTAGGCTTTCATAAATCATAAGAATTAAAAAAGAAACAAAACATTGCTGACTTTTTAAGGTATGTTTTACCTCTCATCTCAGAAAACTGTTAAAATCCCACCACATTTACGCTGCAACACTGTGAAATTTTTTTTGTAAACATACAAAAGGCCAATAAAAAGAGGTAAAGAGCCTTCCTTATCCTAAAATTTAAGCATGAATTTAATCTTTTTATACCACAGTAGCTCAATCCTCCACTCCTATTGGCTGAGAGATGCAGAGAGGTGCATGTCCGCCCCGAGGCGGCTGGAGCGCTGCCTGTTTGTTAAACTAATAATTGCCGTGTCATTACACTATAATTAGACACAATGATCATTCGGCTGCCTGTGCATATAGAGAGGGCCGCATACCAGACACACAAATTAACATGAATTAAATACCTCATCATTGCAATTATTAATGTTGAACAAGAGTGCTCAACTCCTGCATGAAGATGCCTGAAGGTGTAAACCACCATGACCATGTTTTCATATATTAACACTGGTTTCTCTCATTATTAGATTGTGTGCTCCTGAAAACATAGGCAAAGCTTGAATTAACAAAGTTGAATTAATAAAGATCGATGAAAAGCAGTGATAAATGTCCATAAGTCAGGACTTGAACTCGGGACGCCGAAGCACAACAGCGCTGCATGTCTGCCCACAAGGTGATTGGCGCCGACAAACTGTGCAAGTTTTACCACACTTTTTCAAACTGTGAAAAAATTGAGAATTTAATAATTTGCGCTAGTAGATTACAAAGTCAATGCAAAGACGCAAATAGCCGCAAATTTGCGCCAGATGACGTGATGAATTGGGCAACATGATTGCTGCAAACAGGTGATATTAGCCTCAATCGCGTCTTCCACGCAAGTTGAAAAATTTCAACACGAGCAGGAGATTCACATGACGCGTTTTCGCGCAAGTCAATCAGCGAAGAGCTTAATGACACATCTGGTTTGACACATCTAGTTGTATCAAAAAAAAAAATGGAGGGAGAGCATTATTATGTTTTTATTCACGTAAATTACACAAAAAAACATCTCACGTGAATATTCGCTTCGCTTTGGTGTGAACAAACTATTAGGGATCATCATATATGGGGGTCCTTGGCATTAAAATGTTTGACACCTACGTTAGGGTATTGTGGGTGGTCACCAGGGCACTGGAGGTATTCTGGATGGTTTTTAGTATGTTGCTATGTTGTTGCTAGCATAGTCTTTGTGGTTGCTTATTGGCCTAAATCAAAAGAGCCCACCCAAAAGTCTCTCAGATATTCTGGTCCTTTTATATAACCCGGGTCCCTCCTCCACCATGGGAAGGCTTGCCTTAGCAAACACCACTAGATGAATTGGGCAACATGATTGCTGCAAACAGGTGATATTAGCCTAAATCGCGTCTTCCACGCAAGTCAATCAGCGAAGAGCTTAATGACACATCTGGTTTGACACATCTAGTTGTATCAAAAAAAAAATGGAGGGAGAGCATTATTATGTTTTTATTCACGTAAATTACACAAAAAAACATCTCACGTGAATATTCGCTTCGCTTTGGTGTGAACAAACTATTAGGGATCATCATATATGGGGGTCCTTGGCATTAAAATGTTTGACACCTACGTTAGGGTATTGTGGGTGGTCACCAGGGCACTGGAGGTATTCTGGATGGTTTTTAGTATGTTGCTATGTTGTTGCTAGCATAGTCTTTGTGGTTGCTTATTGGCCTAAATCAAAAGAGCCCACCCAAAAGTCTCTCAGATATTCTGGTCCTTTTATATAACCCGGGTCCCTCCTCCACCATGGGAAGGCTTGCCTTAGCAAACACCACTAACAAACTTGATATAACAAAAACGATTCTTAGAGAGCATACTTACCCCCTGGAAATCCAATGAAGTCATTGAAGACAACAGTGATTGAAGACAACATGGATCAAACATTGTCCTGATGCAAATTAAATACTGTACAATGGACTCTAAGCAAGTGTCCTTTACATTCTAGTCAAGAGAGCTAATGAGATCTAATGAAAGAACTACTCTAAAGAGGACACCTACTCAACTAATCCATTCCACCTTCATCAACACATCACAAGGCTAAAGTTGGCCAGCCCGAGAGGAGAGGAGCATTGTTGTGAAGCTCAGGCTAAGAGAAGGACCAAATCTAGGTACATAGATTAGCATCCACAGAGGGGATTATGGACACCTACTTCCATTTCAAAGCCTCCCGTTTTTGAAGTTTTGGGGGTGGTTGGCTCTAAGCTGAGAAAATGTGATTCTAAAGGCTAAACTCTCATTTGATTCCTCTGGGATCTCCTCAGCTTAATCCCCAGATCCTGGTCTCATCTTCCCTTGTTATTCGATCGCCTCAAGATCAGTGTCCAACCTGGCTACAGACACCCCCTTCTCATTTCCACCCCCTTTCATTCATTTCTCTTAAGAAGATTAGCAAGCCCTTGGATGTTATTGTTTGCAAATCTGATTTCCCTGGTGTCATATTCTAGTAAACAACAGCATTGCGATGGATGCAACTGACCAGTGGGAGTCTCTACTAATACATGCATACCATTCATCTAAATACCCCCAAACTTGCTGTCTTTTTTTGACTTCCTTTTCATTGCTATCAGCACTGACTTGGCTCGATGAACAAGCTACTAATAAAAAGTGGCCAACCGTTTTGAAGCTATTCACATTCTACTACAATACAATTCAAAATCAAATTTCGCACAAACTGGTTCATTTAAACGAACTCTGCAATTTTCAACACTGTTGCATTACAATTCGTAAATATTATGTTTTGGCAATCTCATTTACACGTTTTAATACAGCCTACTCGCCCTGCAGAGGGTTAGGTTTAGGAGTGGGGTCAGAGGTACAGTTTGAAGTTTACTTTTATTTGATCACAAATCTTACGTTTTCACATTGCACAAATTTGTATGAAACCGTGACCTCGAAAAATACTTTTCCGCTTCTTTATTTCGTGAGATCATGTTTACTATTTACATGAAATGAATTTGACCTCAAATTGGTTAATATGAAATAGAAGGTGGGCATTTTAGGCTTAAATATACACTTGGGCTTACAACTGTGTTCCCAATTAATTTTACTCTTTTTATGCCACTAGTTATTGCACAATTTTTAACTTTTTAATGGGAAAGCTACTCTGCTTGAAAACTAACTGTTACCCTACTGAAATGCGTAGTTAAGTTGGTAGTTTTGGTATTTTGAGCATCACAACACTGCCTATAGTGCCCATCCCAACCAGCCTCAGATAACAATTGATGATCTTCTTGAAACAACACTTGAGTATAATTGCGGACAACAGATAGATTAGGGTAAAACTAAGAATTACATGAAAAGAGTAATAAACTGATGATTGGGTTTGCACGAGTTATTTCTAGTGGCATGAAGCAGAAGCAAAGAGGACGGGGATGAAGGGGTATAGGTAGAGTCCTCGTGTACTTACAGTGACAAAGTCCTGCGAAAAGAAGGAGGAAACAAATCTAATGAGGACACATAAATCAAACATGGTCAAAGGATGTTCCACACAAAGTCACACATTGCAATTTCAATGGCGCTGCGTTTTCTGCAGGGATTCACAAGGGACTCAAGTTAACCGTTTGATTGGGAACGAGGAGGCACTAATTAATTTGAGAAGCTGTTATCTTGCTCTGTATCTGCATCTATGAGAGGGGTTTGAACCATTTGGCTGTGATGCTTCAAACACAAAGAGCTTCATTTCCCCTAGAGACGCCAATGCCAAGTTCAGCCCACAAACCCTTTTCAATCCTGCCAAGCAATTCCAGCCACGCCATTAATTCCACAAAGCCAAATGTAATTGATTGATAAGGGCCTGAGATTAACCTTTCCTATGAGTTTTTGTCTCTCAATCGTGATGGCCACATAAGATGCTGTCTATCCCATCAACACTATCGCTTTTATCTGATCCTGGTTAAGAACATTGGCCATTACTGTTGACCTGGGGGGACTGGATGAGCAAAAAGGTCCACTAAAAATGTCCATCTTTGACTGCCACATCTGAAATCAGATCTGATGAGAAAGTCCCATCTTATCTTTAAAGACAATGAAGATGCATTTGAACCGGTTCCTTGTTTGAAAAATGGATTGTGAGGTACAGACAAAAACCTTGCGTGCTCTTTGGAAATGTCCTGTTGTTGTCTAAGTTAGCATCACTTACACAAAAGAACATTTTGCTGTTATCAGCACTAGCATGCTAGTAGACACATGATTTAAAGTGTTCTCTTTGGCGGTAGCAGGTCCACAAACTTGCACTAAGATTATGAAATCCGTTTGACTTTGAAAACTAGTGGAAAGAACGATAAACAATGTTTGAATTTTTGTTGACATGTTGAGAAAAAAAGTAAAGCAAACTATGTTTTAAAAACACTCTTTCATGTAGGTTTTATGAAAAGGGTAACTTGCAGGAATTTTTGGGCCATGATTTACTACTGATTAATTACTAATTAACCTGCAACTCAACTAGAGACTCAGGGTTAGTAACATTAAATAACTATTGGTTCTTGCACTGCAAGTCTGTAAACACATACTGGTGCTTTAGGACTTAGTTCAAGAGTAACTTTTTGAAAGTAATTCCTAGAAATTTTTGGACACAAATGGCACCGTTTTCTGAGAATGTTCCATTAATATCTGACAACTGGTTAAACTAGAGTAAAATAAGTAGCTATTAGCATTAGCAGTAGCTATAGAGGTGGTAAGTGTTCTTGCCAGTTGCTCTACAGCAACACTGCAAGCACTTAGCAGCCCCAGCCGTTCCCTGTCATCCTTGCTCACTGCGTAAATTCACTAAACTTCATGGAAATTTAATAAGAGCTGCTGCTTTGGGCCTCACTCCCGTAGAGCTGCGACCCGCTGCTGCTGCCAGGCACATATGTGATGATTTACAACCAGACACACGTCTGCCACCTTCCTTTTCTTTTCCTCCTCTCTGTTTTCTGTGTCCAACCATCTCCCTTGTTTCGGAAGTGTGCGTAAGTGGCAGAATACACAGCCTTGGGGCCAAAGGCTTCTGAAGTTAAGCCAATACAGGCTGCGCTTGCATCCAGGGGACAAACAATATCTGGAAGTCGTCAGCGTGTTTTATTTTCTTTTCTCTTCACCTTTAAAGAAGACCCGCTCTGTTCCTCTAACACTATCAGGCAACAAAAACGCTCCTGGTCAAACAACATTCAGTTCCTGTCCGAGTCTTTTCATCCTGCCCTAAATCTTCAAAAGAGACACTCTCTGGTTCTGTGCAGTAACGTAATCCTCATCCTAATTAGCTTGACCCTTACAACTCAGGAAACGCAACCGCTGCAACCCTCCAGTCACTACACAAATTACTAGTAATCAGGAAAATGATGGTACTGGCACCATACAGAGAATAATAAATAATATATTTTTGTAGTTATTGAAACGTTTGAATTTTTACAAATAAAATGCAATGGTGAAGTCTCACCTTTTTGGAGACAAGTGTAGGGTCCTGTTGTAGAAGCAGGTACAGGGTAGTAGCGTTTCCCAGCGCTGCACAACGCAGCCACTCTTTCTCAATGGGGTCCATCTGTACCCGATGAAACAGTGACTACAAACAAGACATGGAATACATAAGACCCGACAAGGGAGCATGCAAGAATAGGGTTCACCTGTAAGACCTATAAGTAATATGTACTTAGTCTCTGAGGCATACAACACCAGATCACTGTGTTATCACGGAGTTTCTACAGTGTGGCGTGAATGTGAAAGGCGAACAGTAAAATACAGGTTAAAAGTCATGTGACAGGAAGCAGTGCCTCCATTGCGCAATTACTGGCTGATTACTCTGTCAAATACTTGCAACATCGAAGTAATATGAGCAGAAATGTCTTTCTTCTTACTTGACTACAATTGGATTTAATATATATATTTAATATATATACATGACAACTCTTGGAGGGATTGGCATGGTAATGTACATGACAATGTTAATGTATTTGGTGTATTTGGTATAGATCTGCTACGCTGCTTCGGCAGAGCAATTACCGAGACTTGCTACTGCCAATACATCCACAACATGCTGCTGTGAGCATGTAAGAAATATTGCTGCTGCAAATATAACATACATGAAATAACCCCCATATAGTGTACATGAATCACCATGTAGCAGATCTATACAGGTGGAGCTGGGGAAGGTGGAGGGTTTCTGAAGCAAGCTGCAACTGCAAGCACTAGTCATATATTTGAATGTTGAGCAGCGAGCTCATTGGCTACCGATACAGGAGAGAACCAATCAGCTGTTCCATGTGATAATGATGCCATTAGGTCAGATTGAGTTAGACCTATCGGACTGCGCCATCTAGAGTTTCATGTCAGAACTCTGTATATAAATTATCTAATTTATTTCTGAGATGAAAACTGGACACCACTCACTGAATTCATGTCAACAAGGTGGCATCCTGCTGTTTGTAACATTTGTCATTGTACAGACTATAGTTGGGTCCCAAAAGAGGTACTCTATACTATGTACTTCTATTAAACTGGTAACACTTTAATTTAGGGACCAGTTCTCACTATTAAGTAGTTGCTTATTAACATGCATATTACTAGCATATTGGCTGTTTATTAGTACTTATAAAACACATATTAATGCCTTATTCTGCATGACCATATTTTAGATCCCTTAATCCTACCCCATAATATTAGTACTTATAAAACACATATTAATGCCTTATTTTGCATGACCCCTTTTTTAGATATTAATGCACCCCAAACATAACAACTACCTTACTAACTATTAATACGCATCAAATTAGTTCTTTGATTGAGGCAGAACTGTATTCTACCATCTAGTGTATGGCATATTATAAGGTTATTTTGTCATCCAGCATCAGAGTCGGATAGCCCCTCCCCTTCTACTATGAAAGTATGTATTTTTTTATTTTTTGGTTAAATAAGTAGATCATCCATCATTTGAAGAACGATTTTTGTCTTGTTGGAATTTCAAAGTGTGAATGCTCTACTTACATGTTTTGTGCTAAAAAATTACAAAAGTTCATAAGTATACATCAATGGGACAAATAATTGTAGTATTCAGAAAAATTGTAGTATACAGAACATACTAAGTAAGTAGTATACTACCATTCATCTGACTGCCTGTCCATTCCTGCACTGTGAAAATCTGTTATAACACTAGCCTTCAGCTCCTTCTTGTTTTGACCTCTCTTCATTTCTAATCTGAGGTCGGTTCCAGGCAGCCTCCATCTAACCAGAACCAGACAGAGTTTCTTGTCACACTGATCAATGACCTGTGACCAAGTCTGGGGCCCTGCATAAGACCCACGCCCGTGGCCAGCACAAGGGCCCCGTTGTTCAATCTGACAGAATGCGTCAGGGATCCAGTACCCAGATAACACGATCCAAGGGAAGACCGTGGATCTCAGCACCACTAATCCTCATGTTTAGCACCTGTTTATGATATGACAAATTGAAACCCCCGCCGTGAAGGTCCTGGCATTATTGCATTTCTGTTCAAAACATTGATTCAACATGGCAACTGAGGGGCTGCCGATTGGGACCAGGGGCCGAGCGTGGATATTGACATATGTATATTATAAAAGCTAAAGCAATATGAACTTTGAAATAAACAAATACTTCACGGGGCAATATTAGAAACAAAGAAAGACAGAAAGGAAAACTAGCAGAGGAAAAGGAGGCTGGGATCCTGTGGCCTTGCCCTGCTTTGACCTCTGACCCCGTGTTAAAGGCAGAGCGTGCAGAAAGACGGAGGAAAGCGTCTGCAGATCAAAAGGAGCTGACAGATGAAGGCGAGGGGTCTGCGTGACCTTGACTCTTAAACTTCAGCTGCGTCTCCAGACGAGAAAACACTGACGTGAGCTCCATTCATCGGTCTGCTGGTAACACCCAATGCCAGATAACATAAGCTGCTCATTAGAAAGCAACCAGATACAGCAACACTTATACGCCACAATCTAAAGTGTGACATCAAAATGCTGTCTGACATTCAAACATGCTCAAAATGGCACGGCTTACTTATTTGATCATGAAAATTATGTAAAATTCAATCCATGAGAGAACAAAGATGGTCCCTGCAAATAGGTCAGGTCCACATCCCATGATGCCTTGTGCTGAGGACATTCCTGCTGTGAGAGGGCAGACCCCAATAACAAGATCTATAAAAATAACTGTGACATCCTGTTGCTATCGTCAACAAACAGCGAGATGATTGATGAAGACAAACTGCTGCAGTGATGGACATTGCGAGGCATCTCTCTAAGACTGCCCGTCTTGCTTCAGCCCTTATGGACACATGAAAGGATCCAAACTCTGACTCTCAGATGGATCAGATGTCAGTGCTGCGTTTTCCCACTCCAGGTGTTTTTTTAGTTGTTTTCTTCAGAAACTTGTTCAGGTGTACATGCCTCAAGTCTCTAAGAGACAATTATTATTGGACAACCATGTGAACATCTTTAAAACAGCCGTTAAACACAAAATATGTCATTAATATGCTTATCCGATCTAGAACAAAAGAGGGATTGACTAAAAACTGCAGCCAATGATAGCGCATTTATATATTTACTTAGATTTGAGTTGATCATTTATTATTAACGAAGTCATAAAAGACGTCCCTCCATATTATGTGACCACCCTGTTAAAACAATTTTATGCTATTTAAAGTAATAAACTATTGCATAACATATTTTTATCATTTCAGGATGTGAATTCTTCAAGTACAAACAAAATTCTCCTATTTTTATCACTTCAACTTAAACAATTTATGTTTTATTAGAATAGTCAGTAGAGAATAATCTTAAAGGGGTCATATGACGTTGCTAAAAAGAACATTATGTTGTGTATTTGGTGTAATGCAATGTGTTTATGCGGTTTAAGATAAAAAAAACACATTATTTTCCACATACTGTACATTATTGCTTCTCCTGTATGCCCCGCCTTTCTGAAACGCATCGATTTTTACAAAGCGCATCGGTCTGAAAAGCGAGGTGTATGCTGATTGGCCAGCTATCCAGTGCGTTGTGATTGGCTGAATACCTCAAGCGTGTGACGGAAATGTTACGCCCCTTAACATACTGTGATGCCGTCTCCCGGCACGACGAGACAAAACCAATAAAACCCATTACAAACGAGGCATTTGTTGCATCCAGTGGGGACATAATTACGGATTATAATGACTTATATTGTGTTTTTACGTGTTGCGTATTGAGGCAAAAGTTGTAGTTAATGGTTTATTAATAGTGAGAATTGGACATAAAAACAAAATGTGACCAATAACAATAACTGTAAATTACCAAAATAACAATTCTTATATCTAACTGATAACCAGCACTAGTGCACATAATTTCATAAACAGTGTTCTTTTATTGAGGAACGGTCATTAATGGTGTCAACAAAACCCTAGATTATTTAACATGTGCATGTCTTGCATGTTTTGACATGAAGACCAGAGCAAAGGCCTCAAGCCTTTTGACAAACTTTGCATGTTCTGCATGAAATACAAATTTTGTCCACGTATATGTGGGCTGTTTAAAAAATTCAATATTTTTGCTAACAATAACAATATGCTAAATCACGAGCAAGTTGGAGGTGAGTCAGGTCTACTCTTGAGCATGGGAAGTGCCGTGTTGGCGCTCCAAACCCAGCGGCCTGGTGAACTCTTCTCAGCATGGTCTCACTGAAGGTGCTTGTTCAGACAATGAATGCTAACATGGAAATGGCCGATCTGGGGCGTTCACTCTGTTAGCATTGTCAGAATGAGTCAGCTAGGTCAGTGTCCCGCTCGCTGGGAGAGAGATACAATATCAGCAAGTTTTTGTGCCCTTTGTGTGGACACTGGGGATGGAGGAGAAACATGCTGTAGCTTTTGCTACACACAGTGAGTGTTGTGAGTCAGCTACCGATTCATTAGCTTGGTTTAGCTAAACTAAAAGAAGCATGGTGCGGGTGTAAATGTACCACTAAAACATTAAAAGCACATTAACAAATTGGTTCTCTGTGACATATTTTGTGATGCCTTCAACAGTCTGTTTTTTTCAAACGGGGTGTGCTGAAGGAGTTTACTTTATGAACGAAGTAGGTAAGGTTGAGGTCAGGACTCGAGCCCTGCTGAGAATTTATCACCCCAACATAAAATTAACAAGAGAAAGGAGCTGTAATTGGCAGGCCAGTTGGTACCCAGCCAATAAAGTTTACAGCAAAGTTAAAATGAAAGTTTACAAGAGACAAACTCCCCTCGTTTATTCTGAAATTAATGTCTCTGGTTGTTTATGGCTCCGTTGCCTTCTGACATCCATTTTGAAAGAAATGCTTCCAGCAGCAAGTTTATGATGTAGTTTATTACGTGGCCTCAAAACTCATGGGCATAAATCGTAAATGCTCTGTATTTGATTCTCTGTATTGTCTGATTATGGAAGCCTGAAGATAGAGATTTGCCTGTTAACTCAAGCCCAAAGTATACTTAAGTTTTGATGTGTTTGCTGCAGTCTCCAGTAGTTTGTTGTTGTTCCATCTTTTCCGTTGCTTTTCTGACAGCCAGTGTTGCCCCCTTGTGGATCAACTAATTGCGCAAGTTAA